GGGTTTCACCATGTTGTCCAGCATGGTCTTGATCTCTTGACCTCGTGATCTGCCTGCCTCAGCCTCCCAAAGTCCTGGGATTACAAGCGGGAGCCACCGCGCCCAGAAGCAATTCCTTTTTTAGGAATTTCCTTGATGTACTTCAAGGATATTCCTTGTAGCATTTCTCATGTTAACAGACAGCAACAAAAATGAATGCACCTTGGTCCATCAGTAAGATTTTGGTTAAATAAATTAGGGTGCAGAAAAGATGAATGCTTTATAACCTCCAGAAATAAAGCAGAACCAGGCAGGGCATGCTGGCTCACACTTGTAATCCCAGCACTTTGGGAGGCTGAGTTGGGTGGATTACTTGAGTTTAGGAGTTCGAGACCACCCAGGCCAACATGGTGAAACCCTGTCTCTACTAAAAATACAAAAATTTGCCAGGTACGGTGGTGGGTGCCTGTAATCCCAGCTACTCAGGAGGCTGAGGCAGGAGAATCACTTGAACACAGGACGTGGAGACTGCAGTGAGCAGAGATCACACCACTGCACTACAGCATGGGCAATGGAGCAAGACTGCAAAAAAAAAAAAAAAAAAAAATTCAATAAAGCTCATGCAAAAAACATTAACCACTCCATTCTACTTTTTAGAGGCCAAAATTCACCACCACCACTCCAAGCAAGAACAAAAACATACAACTTCATACTCTTAGACCTTAAGGCAAGCTTGTCCAACCCAGGCCCCGACCAGCTTTGAATTCCGCCCAACACAAATTCATAAGCTTCTTAAAACATTATGAGATAGTTTTACAATATTTTTTAAGCTCATAAGCTATCATTAGTGTCAATGTCTTTTAGGTGCGGCCCAAAATAATTCTTCTTCCAATGTGGCCCAGGGAAGCCAAAAGATGAAACACCCTGGCCTTAAGTCATTTATCTTCACAGCCACATAATCAAACAAACGCCCTTGTTTCCATTTTGCAGATGTGGAAAACAGGCTCACAACGAAGTGGCTCGCGATGACATACTGCTCATCAGAATACAGAGGTGCCTTTAATACTATTTAATGGCAGTCACATCAGTGGTTTCCTCTAGGGCAGAGTTTCTCAAACTTCATTTCCCCCCTCTACGGAGGCTTTTAGTTTTTCCCTAATCGCTCCCCCCTTATAAAGTTCTTTTTTTTTTTTTTTTTTTTTTTTTTTT